CTGTAAGTTTTACCAAAGGGCCAAATTCTCTAATAGATGATGGAAAGTGGGGAGTGGCAGCCATTTGTACAGCAGCTACTGGGAAACCCACTGCAAATATAAGTTGGGAAGGAGACTTTGGTAAAATGGAATATAATTCAATTTCCTTTCCAAATAGAACGGTAACAGTTATAAGCCGATATAAGATCATTCCCACAAAATTTGCGAGGGGAAGGCGTATAACTTGTATTGTGAAACACCCAGCTTTAAGCAAAGAAATAAGATACTCTCATGTACTGGATATCCAATATGCCCCTGAAGTTTCAATAACTGGTTATGGCGGAAATTGGGTTTTCGGCGGAAAAATTGTTCAGCTTAAGTGCAATGTTAATTCCAATCCGCCACCTATAAAAGTCACCTGGACCAGGCTAGATGAACAGTGGCCTGCGGGTTTAGTGTCCATGGGTGATGCGCTATATTTTAACGGCCCATTAATCTACGAGTACACTGGAACCTATATTTGTAGGGTGACAAATTCCATTGGTCAAAGAAGTGATCAACAAACTATCCATATATTAGATCCTTCTATTATTACTACACAATCATCCACAGTTCCATGGTATCCTTTGACTGATAACGTTGCGGGTTTGGCATCGGCCTTAACCTCAACAGCGATGCAGGAAAGCAATTGGGGTACCATTATTGGTAGTATAACGGGTGGAGCTTTCTTTCTAATATTTGTAAGCATTTTAGTTGGAGTTATCTGTTATGGAAGAAGATGAACGTTCCGTGGCAACTATGTCATTGAAGACCACACTCCGTCAACTGACATAGAGGAAGAGTCTTAAGTAGATGTTTCCCAGTCAACTGATGATTAATAATTATTGTTATAAGTTCAAGTTGTCATATTTTATAGTTTGTTAGAGACCAGTCTATAAAGTTGTCTAATATATATATATATATTTGTTACTTAAGCGTTGCAAAACCAATGAGTCCTCAGAAGAACTTTACTTGAGGCACGTTCGTGTGTCTAAAATTCCAGCTGTGCCGTCGGCAAGGGGGCATGTCATAACCCAATGATTTTAAGTGCCTCGGCACGATGGAATTTTTCCTGCCACACGAGAGTCTCTGTGCACAGCAAAAGTTTTCTGTTGCAATAGAAAACTCCGGTGCAAGAGAGTTCCCGTCATTAGTATGCAAATTTCGCCATCATTGGCTGATTCTAAATTATTCCTACGTGGTGGCTAGCGATTGGCTGGTTAGCTGTATAAAATTTCTGTGCGACTTCCGCCCAAGTCGGAGAACTTTGAGCACGCTGCAGAGTGACTTAAGAGAATTCCTGACTCGTGGCAGAGCGAATCGATAGCCTGATGAACTATCGATTTTTCTCCCTGTCGCCGAACGCTATCCCTCGACGTAACCCCTTTTCCTGCATGCCTGGTTCGTTTACGGATTCGCTGGCCCAGGTTTTTGCCAGCTGGAGCAACTCGTGTAATTATTTAAGCGATCGGACCACCTGCGTCGCGGCTACTAGCGGCGTAAGTAAAGCCTTTTTGCAACCAATACGTTTTGTCTGCCTCTCCATTCACCAGCCCGCGCAACAGCCGAGCAATTTGTAGATCACCTCAAGTCGGCTCCGGCCGTCTGAGACACCAACCTGCAGTGCTGGCAGTCTGGAGCACCCGTGTGGCATAGTGCCACAGAGGAGTCCACAGGGAACTTCAGGTGAGTCAGGGTGGTGCACCATGCAGAGTTGAGCGGGGGTTCCTGTCCCTGCGTGTGTGGTACAGTGGAGTAGGGGAGTGCTCACACACAGTGTAGACGGGTTTCGAGTGCACCTGTCTACCTGTGAGCATGATATGGAGCCTAGAGGGGCCCATGGCCTCTTCATCAGGCATGTGGCTTCTGGGTCACATGGCTTCCAGCCACTTGGAAGTTGGACAGCCCTGCTTTAAATAAGACTCTCTTCTAGACCTGATAGAAGAGCTACTGCCTGTGGACAATAGCAGGCTGGTACTTATATCTCCTATTACACAACGTGTTTGATTATGCTCTGCTGTGTCCCACAATGAGTGAAATTCAGTTAACTAACCCAGTATTGTCCTATCCAATCTTTCATGCTACTTGCTCAGGAGCACATGAAATGAACTGGGTAGAACCTAGTTCATTTCTAGCAGAGCATGTTCAGCCTGGAAACTTCCATTATGTTTGTCACTTAGAAATAGTAGTAATAACATTGGCACCTTTTGGACCTACAGCAGACAAGAAAGGGGTTATGGAAATGAAACCATCTCCCAACTATCTGGGGCCTTTAACTGATTGCTCAATCTCATTACCAAGGTGGTATCTGGAAAAGGGACACTGAACGTTTTACTTCTTCCGTGCCTTAATGGTCTAAGGAAATAATATAATAAAATACCAAACCCGCCCCCCCCAGGCTTAGTAGCAAGTGGAGGCAGGGGGTGCTATCTTCATGATTTGCAAGACCTCTGCTTTATCAAGTGCAAGGCAAAGCTTTTGCCATAGATTTAACTGCTCATGGTCATGTCCTGCTCTGTTTTTTCTTAAAGCTGCAATTCCTGGATTTAGATGATGTAATAATACCTGCTCCTGTTGGGAGCTGTGCAGTTCAGTTGGTTTGGTGACTGGCTACAGGCTAGAAGGAGCATGGTTGGATCCCAGCTGAGGATGGTGGAATTTCCATAATGGCCCTGAGGTGCATCCAGCCTCCTATGCAGTAGGTACTAGGAGCTACCTGGGGCTAAAGGTGGTGTTGACCCCATCACCGGTTCTTGTGCTGAGGTTAAAGAAGCCTCGCCTCCACTGCCCTAATGCGCCGTTATGGCCTTGACCTTTATCTGCCCCTGTTGAGGGGCTGGAGCTCTATGCCCTTTGGCTTGTAGGGGAAACCTCGAGCAAGCAGACGCGCCTGCCCCGCCCTTTTCGAACTACGGTTCCCAGCAGGCCTTGCGGCGGCCGGGCCGAGTCACGTCACGTGGGTGCTGTTGTTCGCTTGGAGGAGGAACATCCGGGTCCTTCGCCCCGCCCCCGTAACGACCACAACAAGCAAAAAGCAGAAAGCGCCGGATACACCCACCCTTGCTGGCTGCAGAGGCTCCGCCTTCAGGACGAGCTGATTGGTCGCGGCGTGTAAGAGCGGCCCGCGCATTGGCCGACGGGAAGCTGGGGGGCGGGGATGTCATAAAGGCTAGGGAGGCGCGGGGCCCGCTCAAGGCGGGAGGGAGCGGCGGTGGCGCGGGCGGCTCCCCGCCCTGTCCCTTCTCCCGGCGGCGGTGGCGGCTCCTCCTCCTCTATGAGGGCGCCCGGGGCCCGCGGCGGCGGCTTCCCGTGAGGAGTGG